CAGACAGCAGATTCTGCAATTTTTCTAAGTTCAAAAACCTTCCGAGACCTATCCAAAACTCACCCGAGTCCTCGGGGCTCCTAACCAAACATATGTTCTAACTCAATAACATCATACGAACTTAACCGTGCGATCAAATCGCCAAAATAATCTCAATAGCAACGAATTAAACCCCAAAATCCATGGAATTTTTAAAAACTTCTTAAAGCATCAAACTTTGCATTTACGGTCCGAATCACGTCAAACGGATTCCGTTTCTTACCAAACTTCACAGAGTTATCTTAAATCACATATAAGACCTGTACCGGGCGCCGGAACCAAAATACGGGCCCGATACCAACATGTTCAAATCAAAATTCATTTCAAATTCCTTTAAACAATTTCAGAAAACAATTTTCTTTAAAAATTCTTTCTCGGGCTTGGGACCTCGGAATTCGATTCCGAGCATACGCCCAAACGTTGACCGAATTCAAATCACGGATCCGGGTTCGTTTACCCAAAACGTTGACCGAAGTCAAATTAACTCATATTATAGTCAAAATTTATCATTTTTTTTCCATAGATTTTCATATTTAGGCTTTCCGGCTACGCGCCCGGACTGCGCACGCAAATCGAGGTGAAGCTAAAAGAGGTCTGGCTACTATCGAGGTGAAGCCCGGACTGGTCGAACAAGTGTATGTGTCAAGGGGTATCCAGATAGCCCAATTTGGCAACCATGACCAAACAAAGCGAGGCAGTAGGCACGCGCATGTCGAGAAGAATTGGTTTGGCTACTATCAAAATTATTAAATTTAGCACTAAGTAATAATCTATATAGCAAGTTGCACGTACACATACCACGTACGTCTTTTCCTTTATCCAAGTTTTATTTCTCAACCCACAGAAGTTAGTCTAGTAGAGGGCTCACTAGGTATACGCGTTTGGACAATATTTAGTTAAAGTTGAAACAAAGGAGTATTTGAAGTTAAAGTTTGAAAGAGTATTTGAAAGTTTATCATATCTTTTCTTCTTTCCATTAGGCGACACAAAGAAATAAGTTTACTGAGATAAACTTTTTATTTGAGGTTAAAATTGACTAGGACACCATGCTATTCTCTTCTTTCACATTTTACTTGAAAATAAAGATTTGTTTCTTGAGTTTTAATTAACTAATACTTGTAACGGTTGTTCTATTTTAACATTGACTAGTATCTATCAACGTGCGTTGCATATTAATAATGACACGTGGTGAATTAAATATTTATTTATATGAAGGAACAACAAAATTTAATTAATTAGAGAAATTTTATGTATAATAATATAACAATCATCTAAATGCCGAAAATATTATTACATTAGCATGATACATGAATTTATAATATAAAAGTACATCATCAAAAGTTACACAAATGTATTTTTAGGATTTAGCTTTAATTGTGCTTATTCAGACACTTGTATAATATTTTGATTCTTAATAACATACTAACATTTTTACTTTGTGTTCTAACGCTCTTTATATGGAATGAATTTATCTATCCTGAGATTTTTTCAACTTAAATAAGAATTTTACTCATATGATTAATTTAAAAAATAATTTAATTGGATTCTCTTGCGAAATAATTAATTAAAACATTTAATTTATTAATTTTAACATAAAAAATAATTTATTCTATGCTAATTCAGATCTTAATATTAGTTCATCTCTTGATCTTAATTATAATTTTATCCACCATAAATTTTACTTTTAAAGAGTAAAATATTGATATGACATTTCACTTTAAGATCTTTATGTCTATAAAAAATATTAGTGATATTGACTCTTACCAACCACTTTTTTTCTCTTTCTCACACATTTATATTCTTAAATATTTTCTTAGTTTTTGTTTAATAATTGGGTATTTTTTAATATTACACGAAAAATTGATAAATATTATACTATTTGAGAAGGAAAATAGTTCAAATATAATATAAAAATACATTGTCGTGGGGGTATTTTTTTTTTCTCAATTTCAANATATTAATTTTTTTTTTGGCATTGGATATTATGGAGTAATAATGTATTGCCAATACAGAGGATTCTTATGAAATTGATTTTATTAAACCTTCCTACATATATTTAGTAAGTACTCAATAGTCCAAATTTTTTTAATTTTAAAATCTTAAATATTAAAAATTAGCATAGAAGGTATTGTAGTCAGTTATTGCAGTTGTGTCCTTTCCCTATGAGTTCTTCCGTTTAGTATTTTAGGGCTACTTTGGTATATTAATATTGTATTTATGCTTTTATAATAGTATAGGCTCTCTTTTTTCTAAAGGAATTTGGACAATATAATTATCTCAAATTAAATTAGTAATAGGACATTATAATACGTTTTCAAATTAAATTAGTAATAGAAATTTTTAAGAAGCATATCCTAAAAGTAAAAGGATTACATGACTAGAGATATTTACTTGATCAATTTTATATGAATTAGACAGCCCAAAAGTAATTATACAAATAGGATTCCTAACGTGTAGTATTATGTCCTAAAACTAATAGGATTATAAGGCTAATATCTAGAATTCCGATAATGGTCTTTTATTATGAGTTATTATACTTAATATTATAAGGTTATTTTTATAAACCGACAAGTTACGTTACTTATTATTAGGACATGACATTAGCTTTGAGTCACGATGTAATTTTTAAGAATTTTTTATTTACTTACTATATTTCAAAATACATGAAAATAGAAATAAGTGAATATAGATTAATCTCGGTATGTGCATTGTGTATGTACCCATCAATAATTATTTAATGCTGAAAACTCACGTAAATTTTGCATTAATAACATGTTTTATTTATGAGGTGAAAAGTAAATAAAATTTTCTGTAAATGTTAAATGTTGATTCTATTTAAATACTTAAAGATAGAAAAAATCATGAAGATCAAACAACAAATAAAATAAAATAATTTTAAAATTAATTTTAATTAAAATCCACATAAAATGAAACTATAACTTTTATGAAGGAACTATATTTTGTTCAAAGTAAAAAAAAATATTCCTTAAATCTCTAATATAAATAAAGAAGGTAAAATATATATACTATTATTAGTTTTTAAAACGTTGAGTCAAAGTGGACTCTTGAGTTTATAATCTTTCGATATTTTTAACTCCAAATTTTTTCAAAGCCTTTCCATACGTATTTAGACCATTCTCTCTTTAAGTTCTTCCAATACAAGGTTAAATTTAATGTTTTATTTAAGAATTCTTACATAGTCCAATAAGGAAAGATTTAATAACAACAATTTAGTTAATTTTAAAGTCCTGAATATTAACATGTAGTATTATATCCTAAAACTAATAGGATTATATGGCTAATATCTAGCTAGAATTCCGGTTGTGTCCTTTTATTATGAGTTATTATACTTAATATTATAGGGTCATCTTTGTAAACCGACATTGTATTCATGCTTTTATAATAATATAGATATAGATTATCAAGGGCAGCAACTGAGAAAAGTACAAAAGGCCCGGTATATATACGAGTCAATTACTCAAATGGTCACTCAAGTATCCCAAATTATTTTCTAAAGTCACTTTTCTTTCGTTTGTAACAACAAAGTCACTAAACTAGTCACTTTGTTGTTACAAACGAAAGAAAAGTAACTTCAGGAGATAACTTGGGATAATTGAGTGACCATTTGAGTATTTGACTCGTATATATACATGTTACTTTCGTTTACTTCTACTACCTTCGTGAAATTAATCCATCCACTTTTACCCACAAGTAAACGTCAAAATGACTATGTAAAAGTTAACTGTCTTACCCGAGTAAGATGTAGGAGTGGGCGTTCGGGCAGTTCGGATTGAATTTAAAATTTCAGTTTGGATTTTTGGGTTTTGGATTGAAGAAACGACAATCCAAATCCAATCCAAATAAGCTCGGATTGGATCGGATTTTTTAAGTTCGGTTTCGGATTAATCGGTTTGGATATTTTGGATTTTCGGTTTTGAGCTTATAAGTTAAGATGTTTCTTCTTTTTACAAAAAATGAATATCCAAATGAAGTACTCATGTTAAATTGCCCGAAAAGTTACTCATTCTCACCGCAATCATCCAAATAAAGTATTCAAGTAATGAAATTATTATAAAGGGAATGCAACAAAGACATTAATACGCCTGATAAGAAATAGCAATAGTAAAACCATATCCAAATAGAAAATATTCGGATAGTAACTTAGTAGTTAATATTGAATATATGAGATAATATCTAATGGGTAGGATATCGAACTTATTACTACTTACATATGGATGATGGACTAAATATAAAGTATAAAAATTTCGGATTTTCGGATATCCAAAAATCCGAAGTACCAAATCCAATATTTAATCCGAAATCCAAAGTTTTAAAAAATTAAATCCAAAATTCAATCCGTCCGAAAGTCCAAACCAAAATTTAAAAAATTCGGATTTCAGTTTGAATTTCGGAGTTTGCCCAAACTATGACCACCTAGTAAGATGAAATGTACCACTAGCAGTTTACTCGAACAATAAAATTTGTCTCAACGTGTTAGTTACTTGGACGTTAGAAAGTAACCTCTCAAAACAGGGAAAATAGACATCATTACTAGACTATATATAAATATGAACAAAAATTAAAGTACGCAGCAGATATTGATAACGTGTAATTTCATTACTTGTGAAAGCTCCACGTAAAAAATCTGATAGTAATTTTTTTTTTTTACATAATCAAGTTAATAGTTGATCGGTTAGTATACTTGGGAAAAGAGAATGCTCTCCTTTAGATGATAATGTATAATATGATATGACCTAGCTATGAAGGCAGCTCGATATATGTATAGCTAGTTAGAGAAAATAAACAATCCCAAAGTTACCATACCCCAAATCAAGGAATTAAAACCCCACGAGCATTTGTTTTTTAATGGCCTGAAAACACTCCCCTACCAGCCTTTTCTTGCCCCCACTTTACAATAAAGTTAAAGCAAGAAATTTTTCAAAATAAAGAAGAATAAGTACACATATAATTGAACGATCGATGGAAGAGCTAGAGCTATATAGAGAGGAAAACAAAAAAATAAAACCCTCAAAGCTAGTCAACCCCACAAGTAAGAAATATTACTAAGTAAATATTTGAAAGGGACATATTGGTTTCTTCTACCTCTTCGAGAAAAGCAAATAGAGACCTAAAAGCTTCAACAATGTTTCGTTTTGGTGCTCACACAAGGAAAGAAGACAGACAAAGCTAGCTAAAAAGAAAGAAAGATAGGATTTTTTTTCCCTTGAATATTAAGATGGTTTTATTTCTCTAGAATAATCTTTAGTAGGTAACTGATGGCTGGAAACCCTACAAATAACTGGTGGAGTATGATGATGAACGGAAGCATCATGCATCCCAATCATGAATCTCAGCAGTTTTCTTCTTCGTCGTCGTCGTCGTCGTCGTCTCAGCATTTTTATGGATCTTCTAATTTTTTGGCTGATATTAATATTCCAAGCCAAGATTTCCCTCGCTCATGGAGCCAGTTACTTCTGTAAATCTTCTTATCTCTTTTGGCTTTTCTTGGTTGTTATAGCCAGTTTAATTTGTGTACAACAATAACAACCCCAGTGAAATTAGGTCTGGGGAGGGTGTGTGTAGACATACCTTACCCCTACCTTGTGACGGTAGAGAGACAACCAGTTTAATTTGTGTAGAGGGTTTAAATTTGTTATCCTAAACATTTGTAGTCTTTGTATTTACCATGTTATTTGTTATCAAACTTCAAAGACAAAAAGTTTTGCAGCGTGATTTAAAGATTCTTTCTTTGCCAATTACTTTTGAATTTCCAAAAAACTTCCATGGTATGAGTTTTGAGTTTCGCATCTTATAGATCGATATAGACATCATGAAAACCAGTTGTTACTGATACTTTCTTTTCGTTTGCTTCTATGACCAGAGCTTAGAGAAGGACGAGATAAGAGGACCCTATGAAGAATGTTGTAAAAGATCCATAATAGAATCCCGACCACACGGCCAAATAAATTATCTTCGTGTATAACGACCCTAATTTACCTAGTAGAAAAGATTGAAAAATCATCATCACAACCTCCCTAACTATTTCTGTTATATTTGATTTTACGTGGATTAATTATGTGTTAATCCAAGTCATGAGTGTGGTGTTTTGACTTGGTGAAACTTTAATTTTTTCCTTCTTATTTTGTCCCTATTTAAATTGCAGGTCTGGATTATCTGGTGAACAAGAAAAGTCTGGTATGAGTCATTTTCATCAGTATAAGAAGCTGCAGGAGAAGTGGGAAGAAGTCCAAAGTTTGAATTCCATCAATCCATCATCTTCTTGTTTTAGGGTTCCTGTTGTTGATGTAAAACCACAAGTAGTGGGCCAAGTATTGTACAGTAATTACCAAGATTTTCCAGCAGCTTCATCACCAGCTAACTCTTGTGTTACCACAAATTTAAGCCATGATATTTTGAATTTTTCTGGTAATAAAATTACCAGTAAGGTGGAAGCCAAGCATCAACATCCAGATCATTCATCTGAGGTAAGAAAAGAAAGGGTATCGATCTTTAAATAAATAGCCGGTTAAATTCACTGTTTGCTTTATATAATACTATAAACAATAATATCACTATATTCGGTTTAAACAGTTGGGTGAAGTGGTAATTTGGGTTATTTCTTAAAAAAGAGAGAGGTGAAAAGTGGATTTTTTTCATCTTTATCTTTGCATAAAGTCAATGTACATAGGTAGCATTCCAAAAGGAAAAGTTATGATAAATGCCAAAATACTGCCAAACGAATTAATCATAATAAAAGGTGATTAATTCACGGGTATTTACTCACTTTGCTAGTCGTCACTATTTTCTCTTTTTAGTTCCCATATGTTTAGCCTAATCTATTTTTTATTTTTTTTATTTTTAACTTTGAAAGTGTAACAGCACAAGCAGTGGAGGGGTAACTAAGAAGGCTAGAGTTCAGCATTCCTCAGCTCAACCATCTCTCAAAGTAATATAATTCTCTATTAATTCCTTATTCCTCCATTAATCTTTAATTCTAATTCACTGTAATTAGATATTTTGTTAAACAAGTCTCTTGCACCTGCTGATCGAACAAGTCACTGAAAAGCTATATTGCTCAGACTCTCCAAATGTGTTACTGTATTCGTGTCGGATTCTCCAAAGATGCTGGAGAATTCGACATGCACCTGTCACATTTTTAAAAAGTCCTAACAACGTTTAGCTGAAAACTATGCATCAATAATACATGGAGTCCTCATTAATATGTAGTTTAATTTGTTTATATTTGAAGCTGCAGGTAAGAAAAGAGAAGCTAGGGGATAGGATAACAGCACTCCACCAACTTGTTTCTCCATTTGGAAAGGTAAACTAAATTAAACTTATTCTTGTACAATCTCTTAATTTTTGTTGTACATTAATTTAGTTGTTGTTGGTTTTGTAAAAGATAGGGTAGCAAAAATATTAAAAAGATTGATTGAAAATGTCTCTTAATAATTTTACTAAGCATAACAAAGTTTTAAATAACCAACTTAAAAAACATAATTAATCTGCAGAATAAATATTCAAATTCAAAAACCTAAACTATCTCAACTAACTTATCCAATTAAATTTAAATTTAAACAAGGACTCCTCCTACGATTAAACTACTTTTTATTGTATAGTAAATCAAATATCAGCAGTAACAAATACAAAATCCAACAGTATAGTAGTGCTGACAGTTTATGATAAAACCCATAAAAGGAGATTACAGAAACAGATTTTAATCTATTTCACTTTTGCTTTAATATATATATACCCATAAAGACTTGTCTTTAAAGTTATCTGCCGAAGAAAGAAGATCTGACTAAAAAAAGAAATTAAAGAGAATGAATTTGGGTTAATGCTAAGGCATGGAATATGTTTACTCTTTTGCAGACTGATACTGCCTCCGTCTTGTCAGAAGCTATTGGCTACATCAGATTCCTTCAGGGTCAAATTCAGGTCTCTCTTCTCTCCCATTTTTTAACCTACTTACATATATAATTTTTTTTTTTTTTTTTTGCGACGCGATGTATGACGCCCAGACATACATGCCCTCGGTCTAATGTCTTCGCTAACTTGCGTTTAAAGACTCGATGATTCATTTGATCCGCAATTCACACAAAATATCGCATTGTGTTATGTTCTTTATTGATGCGAAAGCCAAGATATCAGTTCCCAAAGAGTCCTTTATTTCAACATATAAATTTAATGCGCCTTTCCAATTATTCTTAAAGAGAAGGAAAAAATATACTCCCTCCGGTCCAAAATAAGTGATTTTTTGGCTTTTTTCTTGTGGTCCAAAATAAGTGATTTTTCCAGATTTCAAGAATGAATTAATTATTTTTTTCCAACATTGTCCTTGAAGTAAATGGTGTTGGAATATGTGTTAGGAGTGTTTATCTGAGATAGTAAAGGTTAATATGGCCAATTCCATTGCTAATTAATGCTAAAAGGTGAATTTCTTAATTTGTGTGAAAACATCTAAAAAATTACTTATTTTGGACCGGAGAAAGTATCTATGGAACTACTTCCTCTATTTTATTTTAGAGTATTTTCCTTGTCAGTTTGTTCCTCAAAGAAAAATACATTTGTATTTAAAAAAATTCTTAATTTTAAACTTCTTATTTTACTATTTAATGCGCTTGTGTAGCCATAAAATATCGTGATGCATATGATCACAAGTTCTTAGGATACTTTCAGCATGAACTAAAAGTCTTTTTGTATTCTCAATTTTACATTTAATCAAATATCGTTCTATAAAATGAAATAAAAGGTATATATAGTTTCTTTTTGTTTCAACAGCTTTTTTGGTTAAAATTTCTTTTTATCTCGTGCACAACATATGCAGGCATTGAGCTCTCCATACATGGGCAATGTAGCAGGAAGCATGGGTCACACTCACCAACAATCTGTGAGTGTGTGTATATATATATATATCTCATGAGTTGTTCTTTTCTTCACATTTTCCAATAAACGACCAAGATTCCCTCGTCTTTCACATCCATCATACACGTGCATGTGACTAATCATAGTAGTGGATTATTAATTGATTAATTATGAAAAATAACAAATTTATTCAAGAAAAAATAGTTGTTTACTCCCCAAATAAGAATTTGATCATGGCTGCTTTATTGGATCCCTCGCCAAAAAAGCAAGCTTTGAGATGCTTTCATTAGTATCAAAAATTCCTTTTCAAAAAGAAGTTGTCCTATAAGGTGCAAAAGTTGCCAACTTTATGAAAAACAATTATTGAAGTTTTTGAACCACATGATCTTTTAAAAAGACTTACTACGGTATTATTCTGCTCAAGAAACGAGTGATGAAATTTTTTAAATGAGTCCCTTTATTCATATAGAAGTAATAATAATTTGGCTAGTAATAACAACAATTATCAAATACGTATTGTTTGTGGTATGGTAATATTTACAGTTATTAACAAAAAAAAAACAATTATCAAATAGCTTCATTTTTTTGTCGGCAACTATTAAATCTCCTTCAATTTTTCATAGTTATATGATTTTTAAAATAAATTTTGTAGGATTCTCAGCATAGAGTCAAGGATTTGAGGAGTAGAGGACTGTGCTTGGTTCCTATATCTTGCACACAACATGTTGGAAATGACACTGTTGGCGATTATTGGGCTCCAGCACTAGGTGGAGGATATTTATAAGATCAAATAATTATATTGTTCGGACTCTCTAAAATATTTTCGCGAAGAGATCAGACACGCACCTGACGATAATTTAAAGAGTGCGAACAACATAAATCACAAGCCAAATTAACGTTAATGATGATGAAGTGATGTATGATGTAATATATGATATACCATCAGAAGCAGTCACTCTCAATATATGCTGCTGAAGTCAGGGCTGACTGTTGCTGATGATATACATTTTGCATTTCTAGGTAAGTGTGTAGGAACAATGACATGGTGGTATTTTATGGTCAATATGATCATTTTATTTCATGAATAATTATAAACAGTATAAGCTAGTTGTATATGTATCAATTGCTAGGATAAAGAATATTGAACTTTCTTTTTCAAGCAACAGTGTTAAACCTACTATTTTTGAGTTCCATACAGCTTCCAAGCTAACCTACGCAAGTATGTAAGGGGTCGTTTAGTAGGGTGTATAATAATAATGTTGAATAAGGTGTATTAGTAACGTACGGAGTAGTCTAGTAGCGATGCAAAGATTATTTCTTATCCACTGTTTGGTGTGATGTATTAAAAGTTAAAATACATTGCAGAAGTTTTAAGAAAATTAGTTGTTTACAAAAGTATATTCTTTAGTTTTAAGGGACTTTAAGTACAAATTTATCTTTAACCATGCTAATACATGCATTAAGGTGTTGTTTGATAGAAGGTATTAGAAAAAATAATGCAAGCATTAGCTGTGCATTACTAATATCTTGTTTGCTATATTTTTTCAATATGTGTATAACTAATTATACATCATACTTGGTATTATCCTATATATAAGTAATGCACAGAAAACTATGACATTAGTATGCATGCATTAGTATGGTTAAAGATAAAATTGTCCTTAAAGTCCCTTAAAGCTAGAGAATATGGAGGGCATTTTTGTAAGCAACTATTTTTCTTAAAAATTATACAATGCATTATAATTTTTAATACACCACACCAAACAGTAGATAAGAAATAATATTTGCATAACTAATGCTTGCATTACTGACCCATGCATTACTAATCCCTGCATTACTAATACACCTTATCCCGCACTATTTTTATACACCCTACCAAACCACCCCTAATAGCCTTGGTGTTGCTAATACCATGGTTTGCTATGTTTAGTTATACATAGGATAATACCAAATATGTTGTATAATTACTATTTGTATTAGTAATACATAAGTTGAAAATGTGTATTAAACAAGAGATTAGTAATATCAAAAGCTAATATATGCATTATTTTCTCTAATGCATCCTACCAAACGACCCCTAATTGTATCCTCAATGAATTGAACAAAAATGCATACGCTGCCAGTTAAAGTGCTTTATATACCTTAGACTAATAGGGAGTACTTCTCCTTCCCAACCCATTCACAGTATTAGGGACAAGTTGCAATTCTTACATGATGTAATCATCGCGTAATAATTTTGTGGAAAAAAGTATTTTCCTTTTGCTTACACATTACTATCTCCAGACTTCACGGCATGGGATAATACTGGATATGTAGTTGTTGTTGTATGTATAGACACTAACATACATGCAGAGGCGGATCCAAAATTTAAATTTTATGGGTACAGTATTTAAGGTTTTTAGCATTGAACCTATCATATTTTCAAAGTTATCGGTTCATATTTACTATTTCTTACAATTTTAGTAATGTTTACACATAAATTCATGCCCTGCCTCGAAAGTTATGGGTACATTTGAACCCGTAGCTATAGTGCTAGATACGCCCCTGCATATATGGTATTTGGCACCCAAAAGTACGGTTTAATAATCAATGAAGCAGATTAAGAATGATGAGGTGTTAGGTTTAAATTCTAGCGAAAACAAATCATCAGATGATTTTTAATTCTCATTTAATTTGATCAAGTTTTTGTGGATAGAGTTTTTGATATTTGTAATGATTAAGATGCGTACGCAATACTTATATGATTGTGTAATAATTTTTGTGAAAAAAAAAAAAGCATTTTCCGTTGGCTTATAATATGAAAAAGATTGTATAGAGAATTAGACACTAGCATATATGGTCCATGGCACTCAAGGGTACCGTTTAATAGTTAATGGAGTGAGTCGAGAAATATATGTTCAAATTCTAGCAGAGGCAAAACATTAGATGATTTTAATGTTCATTTATTTAAAGTTTAATGGACAAAGTTATTAGTATATGTGATAATCAAAATGCGCACAAATTGTTCCGGACACTACGAATATATAATAAAAATATAGTACTATGTGGTACGAAAATGGTGGAGGGGAGGGATCTATATCCTAGACAGGCTAGACTATTGAGTGTGAGATATGCATAGGTCATTCCACAATCGTTTTCCACTAGCAAAAGATAGAAAATGATTTAAAAAAAAGAAAAGGAATGCAAAAAGTGAAAGGACTATCGGTAATGTTTATAATGTCCAACAAACAGCAAAATATATAAATGTGGCTAAACACAGGTCAATACAATCATCAAGTCATGATCATGCTAAAATATCACAAAGGAAGAAAATAGTACCATTATGTTGTCTACTTGTGCTTTATTAAAAGTGTTATTAGTATATATTTATATATGTTAATATAATTTTTTTCTGCAAAGCCAGATATTGACAGCTTTTAATGGCAAGTGGCTACTGCATTTACCAATTTTGATTTTACAAAGTAAGTGTCATTCACATACTTTTTTTTTAATTTAAAGTGTTATATATACTTTTTAGGTTGGCGGATTCAAAATTTGAAGTTTACACATTTTTATATCAATCTCAAAGTAATACTACATTACTAATAACTTCATTCATAGTCAAATATCTATAAATATTTAATGAATTTCTTAAAATATTTATTGAATCTAAATAAAAATTGTTGTTTTTACGTAAACTCATAACCAACACTATAGATCCGCCCTAACATTTTGCTTCTACGTGTCGTCCTCCCACGTCCTCAGAAAACTTTTTCTTTGGGAGTGGCTGGGCGGCCAAGTTCTATACTCTTCTATTCAATAGAATATAGTTTGGTTTCTAAGTTAAAAAATGGGGAGATTTTGCTCATGATTTGCATTATGTTTATTCTGATTGGATATTTAAAAAAGCATCCATTTAGCAAGATAAGGAGGGCGTTTAACTACCTTTATCACATCACCAACTGGTTTATTCATAAATAAGTTTTTTAGCTGTCAAATTAGCTAAATGAAGAGATAATAAAATAATTTGTTGGTGTTATAAATAGAATTTTATTTATGGTGAATGCCTATATTTAGAGAGATTCTAGGGTTTATTACTTGGTGGCTAAGTCACCATCTCCCTATAAATAGATTGTTCTATTCCATTGTAATTCATCCCAAATCAATAAGAATTCTCTCCCTCTACTTTTCTCTGCACTACTCTTCTTCTTCTGTTATTATTTTATAACACGTTATCAGCACGATACTCCAACCAATTGAGTAGAAGCTTTGGGATTGAGCACAATGATTGTCAATTGTTCCATGAACTTCCTTCATGATTAAATTTTGGATTTAAGGTAAGTATTTTACTTTATTTTTCTCTTTTAAATTCTTGAAATTCTATAATTTGATTTTATATACAAGCAAAGACAACAAAGTTTGATTATAACTCTAATGGAGTTTGTAAGAAATTATAACCACCTGAAGTGGTAAAATTTCTATGCCTCGCCATGATCAAATTTATGTATGATTGTGGGCAAAGAATGAAAACCCGTCCCATTGAATTTGCTCCATTCTCATTCCCTTAAGAGAATGTGATAGCAATATGTAATACGTCTGAAAAAAGACAAATTTATTACCATGAATAATCAATGGATGTGGACGTGGCAATAGACGAAATTATATCGTCATCATTGTGGTAATGAGAACAATAAGTATTCTCAAAATAATCATTCACTATGTGAAAGTAATATTTGTCATCGATTTGACATGAAATTTTGTAAAGCACATATAGATGATTATGGTCCATTCATGATTTGAAGGTAACAACATGTGATTTATGAATACATATTCATTCTTCAAAGAATATGAACGTGCTAGTGGTAGTGAATATACCACACTCACCTCTAGAAGGAGGTTTGAGATGATATAAGAAAATAATGTCATTATTATGGCATGAATGGTCATTGGTCACGTACCTATTGTACGCCAAAATATTTTGGCATTGTGATTATTAAAAGACAGCGATAATGCAAGAAACAGAACTTGCATATAATTTTGACCATAACCATAATGGTATAACTTTCTCTTTAAAAGAGATATTCACCATATGGGTGTTGATGAATATGTGGTACTACAAAATTAATTGAGAAATCTGCAAGAGCCAATTATACTATTTTGGAGAAACACAATTAATTACCAATAAGGTATTGTGTTGTAGTAAGTCTCAAAGAAACTTATTCAGTTTCCAAAGTATACGCGAAAGCGGTTGATTATATTGAGACTATAAATAAAGGAAAGATTTAATATCTTCTATTACTACAACTTGTAGCGGGGTAATATGTATGTGAAAAGCTACCCGCTTTATTCTCCAATTTGTACTACATAAACAAAAGAATACCACAATGAAGTGGATATTTATTGATATAAAACCCATATCATAATAAACTTGGAATTTATTCATAATTGCACACATCATGGTGTAAACCTGAAGTTTATCAATATTGATAATTTATCCAGTTGGCATAATTGGTTTAGCCATGTTAATTCAAGTATGATGTGCAAAAAATAAAAGAGAATTCACATGGGTAAATATTAAAGAACTAGAAAGTTCTTTACGAATTCTCTTAAATTGCTTGTTCTCATTAATTAATAGACCAATTAAAATTGAAATTGAATCTCATGAATGCTGGAAATATCAAAGGTGAATATGGGCCCATTCACCCGCCATGTATACCACATAAGATGCATCTATGAGATGGTTACATGTGCAATTATTATTAACCCGCAACCTGGCCGGTGTGTGCGAGGTAACTTGCTCAATAATTTAATTTGAGCATAATTTCCAGATTTCCTATTTGTTTGCAACAAATTATATGTGATACAAAAATAAATTGCAACCACAATATAAATATGAAAAAACGTAATTTTATTGATAAAATGATACGGGTACAATTCTGTTTGCTCCCTTGATTCTTCCTCCGAATTGTTATCCGTAATTCGAGGGCCTTAGCGGTATATTTTCCGAACGTTGGATAATATGCATCTCCTTGATGTATTTGATTATCAAGAAGCATGTAGCAGCACTCCATTTGGATCTTGAATGTTGCTAGAACATTGAGCAAGACTACTTGACATGTCTTTGATCTCTTAATGAATATTCCAAGAGTTTTATGGAATTTCGGAGATTGTATATTTGAT